ATTGAGGTTGTCGCCATTCCTTAGCCAAATTAACATAGTCTATGACCTTTGAGATCCCTTACTAGCTTTAAATCCGCATCATATAACATGTAACATCATAGCATCATGCATGTAGAACTACCACCTACCCCGAGTGGTTGCCCAACATTCCTACTATGGTCCTAAATCACAAAACATCATGAAAATCATCAAACCAAGCATATAACAGAAACCAAAACATAACTGACCATTTTTGTTTTCTTAATATCAACATACAAGTAATTTTAGAAATAATTATCATTGATTATAAAACACATTTAAAAAAATAATTAAGATTAGGAAGATGCCACTCACCTATGTTTGTACCATGTCCTATCAAGATCAGTCTTGTGTGTCATTGCCTAGTCGATACATCTTTTCTAAAATAAAACTATGCATATGATTAATGGCATGTCCTAAATGTGGATGAATAAATGAGTAAATAAGCGCATGTGTTTTTCAGGTCGTAGTATCTTCCTTATATGTGGTCTGAAAATTCTAAGAATATTAATACATAATAGTTATCCACCTAGGTGTGTTAGGGCATGCTCAAGTTCAAGAAATGAGCTGTAGTTATTTTATTATGAAAAATAATCTTCCTACTACTAAAATCTCAAAACTTCTAACATATTGTATAGTGAAATGTTAATATTTGAAACTACAAAACTTGAAATGACTCAATTCAAAGAGAGTTTTAAACCTAATTTAATGGGCTACAATTTTCATGTTTTGGGCTTAATCGGATTCCACCTACCAGAAGTTCGAAACTGGCCCAAAAGTTGGGTCGATAATATAAAACCCTTATTGGACCTTCATTCGATTTTTGGGCTATAACTTAAGCTATAAAATTCAAATTAATGTCATTCAAGTTGGGTTGTAAAACTATTTAAAAGGCACACAATTTGCTATTTTGATCTACACCTAATTTTGAATAGAGGGAGGCCGAATCTAGCCCAATAATGAGTCATGGATATCACTTGTTTTACAATCAATAGCTTTGTGCCTATTTCAGTGAAATGTTTATAACTTGAGCTAGAGTGGTTAGATTAGATTGATTTCAAAAGCTGTGCTTCGCTAACTTGAAGGTCTACAATTTTTAAGTTTGACACTAGCCTAGTTCAAATTGGAAAATGCCTAGAATTGATCGGACAGCAGACCACAATCTCCAGCTTATGGCTCATTTTCATCCCAGTTGAGTTTTGGGTGGTGTAACTCAAGTTTGAGCTATAATTTGAGGTCACCTTTAATTTAGCTTCTCCAGTTAACTTGTATGCTTCCCAAGTCACTTATTAGCATTGAAATTGAACTAAAATCTAACATATTACTAGCCCTAATGGTTCAGCCAACTGAGGGTTTTTCTGCAGAAAAATATAGCAAGTTGCCACATGTTTTAGATTTGTGTTTTAACACTCCTTTCTTGTTTTTTTTTTTTTTTCAATTTTCTTCCTCTTTCTCACTCCTACGAAATTCCTTCCTTTATCCTAATTTTAGCCTCATAGCTAGCATAGAAGGCTTATATAAATTCATAGAAATCAGGATTTCTTAAATAAATTCAAGATTTCAACACATTCCATCCAAAACTAGCATGATCATAAGTTTCTTCTCTCTCTAGAGTGTTCATTTCATATAAATTTCAGAAACTTAATCCCTTTAAAGATCTTGTTTTCTTCAAGCAAATGGAGGGAGTATAGATATAGCATGAAAATCTGCAACAAAAAATTACATAAAAACAATTTTTCTAGAATTTATGCAAAATTTTCTTACCTTAATTTCTTGATTTTTCTTCTCCCTTGCTTTTTCTCTTCTCCCTTGGCTCTTTCCTTTTCTAGATGGCACGAAATTATGGAGCTTCTAGAGGCTTTCAAGGCTTATAAAGCCCTTAAATCGACCCAACTTTGGCCTATTTACAAATAGGTCCCTCAACTTTCACTTATTTACATTTTGACCCCAAAATCTCTAAATTTTGTCAATTGGCCCCAAAATTTTTAGGGAATCCCTATTAAGTCCCTAATAGCATGATCCTCCAATGCAATTGATTGCATCTACATGCATATTTTTCTAATAATTTTATTTTTAAATTCCTTTAATACCTATAATCCCTAATTATCTTTAAGTTTTTCCTACAAAATATTTTCATCCCCTATTAAACAAAATTTTTAGAATTCTTTTCTAGGCTTTCCTAAGCCCTTAATTAAACCAATTTAACAATTAAATTCCTCTTTTTAAGATTGAAGACAAGAGAATTGAAATTTAAATGGAATTCTTTTTTTTTTCTTTAAAAATTTTACAATTTCTCATAACTTATTCTAGAATAATCCTACAACTATATAAAAACGCTAATAAGCATGTTAATAAAAACAAGCTAGGGAACTCCTTTTGTTAGAATGTCACATGCATCTTCTCCATCCCTCTGCAAATCTGCTTGGCTTTGAGATTGCTTAGCCTCTGAACTAGCACAAGTATGCCTTCCATTATCTCTCTTTCTAGCTCCTTTATCTCCTCCCTAGCTCCCCCCCCTCAACTTTAGCTCTTCTTTGTTTCTCCATGCGTTCAAATTTGCATTGCTTCCTATGCTTGAACATTTATCATCACCATAACCATTATCTTCAAATTCATTGGAAATGAAGGCTAAATTGGACCAAATGATGGTGGTTTTAGTTGGGAAAGATGATGGGTTTTGGTTGGACTTAGAGGGGAATGGTTTGGGTTTTCTCTTGCTACAAGTTTTGGGATTCATTTGCTCAAGTAAAAGTAGTTTTGGAGGGAGGTTGATCTATGGTTGGTGAAGATATGTTTGTACAAATAGATGTAGATAGGCCAGAGTCATGATTTGTGAGTTGTTTACAAGAGTAGTTGATTGTGTCGGCACGTTCTGAACAATAATTGACCATTTGGTAGAGATTTATTGCCAGCCACTCATGTCTTTTTGCCACTCTCTTCCCCTGTGGGATAGAGAGATATTTGACTTGATAATGGCAGATGTATGGAGACAAAACTCGCAGGTATTTATATTTTAACTTGTTAAATTAATAAAAGGAAAGAAGTAAAATGGCTAAGCTAAGCCTTCAAAGACAAGGACGACTGAGCCTGTTTAGTAGTGGTAGGAGTGAAAAGGCTATGAAAAGGTGTTTGGAAATCAAAAGCCAATAGTTTTTTGAAGGAAAAATGTCTAAAACTTTTTAAACTGTCTAGTTCTCCTCAAATATTCAGTGCTCTTAAGTTTTATTTTTCTCTCAAAAGTTTTGGTTTTCACTTAAAAAATACTAGGAAGTTCATGGACAAAAATCATTTCCATAACTCCTATTTCTTTTCAGGAAACCAAATGGGCTTAGGGTTTTCTTTTTTTTTTTTTTCTCTCTTTCTTTCCACAGGTAAAAAGCCATTATACCAAACAGTCCTTTACTTCTCAATCATATTTATTAAAAAACTTATTTTAAAAAATGATAGAAAAAGCTAAATATCTCCCATTTCAGTTGTTCCTAATACAAAGGATCAATCTTTAAAAGGAAGCTTATCGAGTCAATAGGTTGCCCTACAGGAACTACTTAAGGAGAATCTCTTTGATTGGACTCTTTAGCGGAAGCTTATGATTCAGCAAGCATAATAGAGGTCTATTTGGACAAATGTTTATATAAGTTTGACAATTTAACTAGGCCTCCTCTGTCTCATTCTCTGTCCTAGTCATCCCTTGTTGCACTGGTCAAGTATAGGGTTGTTAATAGAGTAGATTTTAATTTGAATTCGATTCGAATTTGATTTAATTATTTAGAATTTTTAACCGATAAAACATTCAATGGACATGATTTTATTATAAAAGTTTGTAATTTAAAATAAATAGAGTAAATATAGATTTTGCTTGATTCGATATATTAAAAATATGAATTTAAATATATATATATTAATATATATATTGTATATATACAATATATATGATATATAGTATGACATAATATTATATGTATCATAATATAAAGACTTGGATTAATAAATTATTTTCTTCTTAAAAATAGAAAATAGAAACATATTTTTATATTTCATAAAAATAAAAAATTCAAAATATGTATACTAATGGATTAAATATATTATTATATATCACTAGTAAGCCAATTTTACATATTTGTAGTGGATCAGATATAATTATATTATACTTTCAAATTTCAAAAGAGAAAGGTTCAATTGATACCAATGTGATTGTAAAATATTTATAACGAATTTTATACAGTAGATTTTGTTAAAATTAATGGATAAAATTACTTAATATTTTGAAAAAAAATAAGTATAAATTAATACAGTAAAAGACAGTTATAATAATCTTATTCATTGAATTGACCAAATCGATGTTATAGTTACCGTATTATCAATTGATCTATTCTTATTTAACAATTCAAATTTAAATTTTTATTTTAAATATCGAATTTTATCAAATTCAATATGGTAACACTAAACATATATCCTATAAAAGTTTGGATCAAATTCTGTATTCGAATCTGAATCTGTCATGATCCAACTTGAATCTTACTCTTTAACAATCCTAGCAAGTTGTAGCTCAGAATGCCTAGGATTAGAGGATTTAAATAGAAGTTCAGACAATCTTCTATGTACGTTAAGCAATGCACTATGTTTATTTCCTAATTGTTTTCGTTGATTTCCAATTTAATTCCATCTTCCATTAAGCCCAATTTATTTGTTGCTTGATTTGTTGTAATTTTTTTCTTCCATTCCAGTTTAATTTATTTCAAAGTGATCACTTAACAAATGGAGATTTTTCATTCAAAAGCTTAACATCAAAAGGGTATTGACATTTATTTAATTCTGGTGTAATGTAAATTACTTAGTTTTTTCTTTGCTTTTTGCTATCTCCAGTCCCTAATAAGAAGGCAGGGAGCTAAAACAGAGAGATGTAATGAGCTTCAGACTAGTAGTTCTTGAAGAGTCCTGTAGGTTTGTGCTCCAGTGCATGGGACAGCTCTTCGTAAAGCCATTCAACGAGTCGCTGATGTGCAACCCACTGTCTCATGCAGTTTCCTGGGGAGCAGCCGGCTTTTGTTGCTCAAGATTTTTGGCTTTATCTTGTTCATTTTTCCCCACAAGTAGCCGTAGAGGCCACCTACCAACACCACAGCACCACAAGCACTGCCACATTGTTCAGAATTTAAAAGAAAATGAGCCTTACTGATATTAAAATTTGAAAAAGTAGTAGTAGAGAAAGGGTACGAACCTTCCCCAGTGAAGGGATTCCTTCACAAGATTGCAGAAAAGAAGGCCGTAAAGACGAGCCCTAATGGGGTGAAAATGGCCAGAAAAAACAGGGCCCTTTTTGTCTATTACCCAAATCCTCAACCAATATGTTAATCCAGCGTACAACGCACCCTGCAGTTGACAAAACCCACGATCTTTTTAGGCAACTACTTAACTGGGCATTCATTTACTTTCGCAATGCCAATGAAAAACTCCCATTTCATGAGGTAATTTTGTTTGGATATGATTCTGAAAACAGTTTTCTGCTGTTTGGATATAGAAAATCTGTTTGGCAGGCTGTTTTTCTAAGTTCTTTTTTTTTTTTTTTTTTTTCCGGGGGTTTTCAGAAATTAGGCGATCTTCAGTAAACAGCAGAAGTTGTTTCCAGAATTCTCCAAAACTATCTTCCCTGAAAAGTTCTAAACGTTTTCTGTTTTTAAAACACAGATAATGAAAATTGAGAATGGAAAACTCACACAGTAGATAATTGAGAGAAGATTGATATCCCATCCGAGTTTCCAGGCAGATGGTTTTCTGTCCACAGCGACTGCCCAAAGTGCTGTCTGGATGCAACTGAAGAAGGTTTGCAGGGCCGTGAGTCGCATTTTTGCCGGATATTCCTTCAATATAGGCTCCTGCCACCATCAAGAAGAAAACTTTCAAGCATGTTGATCACCATTTGAGAGAGAGAGAGAGAGAGAGAGAGAGAGAGAGAGAGAGAGAGAGAGAGAGAGAGAGAGGGTGAACCTGCATAATGGTCCATGCGGCCCAAGTTACGTTGGATGAAAAGGCGGTAAGTGAGCCTTTGAGCCAGTCCCCTTTGGAGCTGCTCTCAGTAATTAAGACTGAACTTTCCTTGTGGCTAGTATGGTATATAGGTGGTCCTTTTACTAGAATAAACAGCGTAGCTCCCAAAATACTCACTGCCGAACCCACCACCTTTGCTATTCCTGGCCATCTCTTCATGGAAATGCTTTCCATCCTGATAACCTCAAACACAAATTTTTTCTACTCATTCCTTGGGGAGATTTCCCAACCAGTTTGAGTTATGATTACTACATTCTTAAATTTGAAGATCACACAAATAACTTTGCTGTGTACCTTAAAAGAACAGCCATGATGAAGGTAATGGCTGGGCCCGTGTTGCTTATGGCCACACAGAAAGTTGCAGAGGCGTAGTTCATCGACAAAGTGTCAAGATTTAAACTCAGGGTAATCCTGAAGATTTGGATGTGTGTAATATAATTCCAAGATTATTGATTCAAGTAAGTAATTCAAAGTCAAGAGAGAGAGACCATCCAATTGTGTATAGACGGTGAAAACAACTAATTACTTACCCAACTAGGAGAAAGGAAGAAGATCTTGCAAAGTAAGTTGAGTGATAGGGGAGGAGATTTGTTGCTGCCCATTCACAAGAAAAAACCCACAAGTTAAAATAATGACATTTGATTTGTTTTTGAAAATTGTTCACTCTTTGCGGAAACAAAAAAATCCATATGCCAATTTTTTTCCAGAACTAATTCCAGAGAATTTTTAGAGGAAAATATTTAAGATTAACGTATTGTCCTTAGCATTCGCAAACCTGAAACCTTATTTTTATAATTTGCATCAACATCGTCAGTGCTTCCGAGTTCTAAAATAAAAAATTTTCCTGCATTTTCTGAAACTAGAAAGGCAAATATGAAAATTGAAATGGAAAGGTCACCTCTCAAAGAAGAAAGCAAAGGGAGCCACGGCAATGAAAGCAACGGCTTGACGGTAAAAAAACAAAGATGTAAGGTTCATTCCTTTGGAAACCGTGCTTTGGTGAGTATGGCCCTTCCAGCATACACCAACTGGATGCATAGGAGCCCAATATAAGCCTTATTGTCCCCACCATGCCCACCAACTTACTAAGTGAACAGCACTTCATTTTGCTTTCTGTTTGGCTTTCCTCTTGAGTCCATCTTAATGTGAGCGTGAGCCTTTTCTATTTATAAAACAAAGCCTGGCATCCCGCCATCCCCTCGGCATGGGCATGTACTTTTCCAAACAGGAACTTAGCTTGCCAGATTTCTGCCTTAAAATATTAGGACCGTGGAGGTTGAGAGAGTTTCGGTGGATCTCTTATCCCATTTTTGATATCTAACTTTTGATTGTTGTTATCCTTACATGTAAAATAAAATGTGACATTTGTAGTTCCGTGCAAGTCTCGCAATCAGTTTTTCTTCCTTTCTGTG